TGTAGTCTTTTTTTCCTAGCTCAGACATTATTTTATGTGTTTAATTGTTTATATAGCCAATAGCTGCTAATTCACTAGGGACAGTCATTAGATCAAAATGTTTGTTTGGACCTTACAAAGTGAACATTTCACTCAGGATTTGCTGTTTTCTCCCCAAGGATAATTGCAATTATACCACACTCATTTAATTGGCTTAGTGCCCTTAATGAGAGCAGTCACATGCAGATACTACCAGGACACTTTGCTGCAGGAAGGAGTCTAAAGATATCAATTGATATTGATGGCCAAAAACTAGAAATTCAGTTTGCTGCAGAACACAATAGGCTATGTTCCAAGTATGTGTCCCCTGCTGTGTTGAAACACATGAAGACCTTCCTTTCCTTATCTGAAAGCCACTAGTCTCTAAAATAAGGACATTCTCCTTACCTTGTTTTATGAATGTCTTCTGCTTTTCTTCACCATGATTCTTAACTAGAATGGTAGGGCAGTTGAAAATTGGCCTCAGTAAGTTATATCTGCCTGTATATATCTTCTAAAATCTCTAGTGGAAGAAGTGAGTAAAAGTCAGATAAAAGAGAGCAGAATGAACTTGTAGCAAACCAGTGAGTTGAAATTACTCTTAGCTCTTCATATGCCCAAATCCTTCTGATTTTAATGCAGGCACCTCTGGGAAATGTCCCCTCGTCTGTGTGACTCCCTTCATCCCCTCTGTGTCTCCCTTAATCATTGATGTTTTGTATTTTGCATTAAAGTAACAAGTGACCATGTCTTATATCGCTGACTGAGGTAGGCACCCTAATTCTTCTTTGTATATTTACTACATTTAGCTAGGTTGCTGAATGGTGCATATTTCACTGTATAAATATGTAATAAGGATTTCTAAATATATGAAAAGATGATTAACCTTTTTAATTATGGAAGAAAAGCATTTTATGAAGTGGTTTTTGTTTCTCTTCAGATTGGCAGGGATCAAAACATTTCTTAACTCATTGTACTGGCAAAGGCCTTAGTCACACCCCTGACCCCGTGACCGATACAGCTTCTCTGAAGGGAGATTTAAGATGCACAGGTTGTGGTATCAGCAAAATGGTGGCCTGGGCAGGAGTGAGCACCAGCCCACCCATAGAAACATCAGAAACAAGCAGAAAGGCCAGTTTTATCAAAATACTAGAAAATAGAACTTTACAACTAAGCAAATGCTTAATCAAGAAAAAGACAACTTAAAAATGGTAAGAAATCTTTGTAGAACTTTTATTTGTCCTGGCCCCACCAATTTGCCAATTTTTTTTGGCTACATATATTTTGCCACAACTTTTTAAAAAAACATCTGTTTGTACAGGGGAATTTAGAATGCCACAGGTATACCCATGTCGAAAGGCATGTTCGGCAAAAACATTCAGCAACCCTAAGCAGTCTAGGCTATCGCAGGCCTGCCTAAGTCCTGAGGGACGCTCAGCACAAGGAAAATCAGCAGAGACTGGGAAGAGTGGTTCTGTTTGCTCCTTGGTCTTCCATTTTTGGCTCCTGGCACTCAAGGAAACTTGTCAAAACACTGAATGGATGTAAGGGTAAAGAGCAGACTTTAGTGACCACATCCCCAAAGAATACCATCTTTGTAAAATGGAGTTTTCAAAGTAATTAAACAGACTACTGTAGTACTACTGTAGTCAACAATAAAAAGCAACCAACCCTGGAGAAGAATTTCCAGGGTTACTGCAGTATAGTCTTCAAATGTCCATTTTTCAACAACAACAAAAATCAAAAGACAGATAAAGAAATAGGAAAGTATGACGCTTTCAAGACAACAGAGTAAATTGAAAGAAACCCTCCTTGAGAAAGTCTAGATATCAGAATTACTAGGCAAAGATTTTTAAAACAGTTGCCTTAAATATGCTCAAAGAACTAAAGGAAATGGACAAAACAATGTTTGAACAAAATAAGAATAGAATAGATAGAAATTATAAGAGCCAAACAGAAATTCTGGAAAAGTGGAATAACTGAAATGAAAAGTTCACAACAGAGATTCAGCAGCAGATGGGAGCATACAGAAGAAAGAACCCACAAACTTCAATTCAGGAAAACCAAAATTAGAGTTTGAGGAACACAAAGAAAAATGAATGAAGAAGGGTGAAGAGAGCCCACAGTGGGCCATCGACAAAGGGCTCAACATATGCATTACGGAAGTCCCCGAAGGCGAAGGAGGAAGGAGCAGATACAATATTTTAAGAAATTATAGGCAATGATTTTAAGAAAGACATGAATCTACAAATTTAAGAAGCTTAATGAACTCCAAGTAGGCTAAACACAAAGGCACATCATAATTAAACCATTGAAGGCCTCCCCCAAAATTGAAATATTGAAAGGAACAGGGGAGAGGTGACTCATGCAAAGGGATCTTGGAAGCTCATTACTGGTTTCTCATCAGAAACCATGGTGGGCAGAAGATAACAGGATGACATGCAAGTGCTGAAAGAAAATGGTCACACTCAGGATTGCCAGCATACCCCAGAAGCCAGGGGCCCGGACCAGAACCCCCCTCACAGCTTGGAGGCACCAGCCCTGCCTGAAGCCTTGGTTGGGCCTTGGGCCTGCAGACTGGCAGAAAGTACGTGTTCCCTGTTCAAGCCCGCCAGCCTTGGGGTACTCCATCATGGCACCTGCCAGCAGATGAAGTAAGGCCAGTACCATAACACAAGTGCTTTTTAAAAATCATTTTTTACAATTACTCTAAGCCTCTTAAAGTTGTAATCAATTTTATTGTTTTAACTGGTAGGCTTTTCTGGTCTGTGAAGCAGGATAAGATTTTCCTAATCATTTGATCCCACTTAACTAAAGCCAAGGCAGTCCACTTCCCTCTTGCATGAGAGATGAAGCGGTAAGCGAACTAACACAGGCAAGCGACTGACCTGCCAGCCGGGGAGACACCAGGAGGCACCTGGCTTGGGGCACCTGAAGGTGTGGGAGCCGCTCAGCATGACCACCTGGTCGAGTGACTCACTTGTGCATATGAAAATGATTTGGAGTCTCTCATTTTAATAACCTGCATAGGGATGTTGTTTCCTCAATCAGCATCACTAAAATAAATACGCACCGTGAATGACCAACACCGAGCATGTCACCCAGCACCAATGGTTCTTCCAGTATCAGGGCCTGAACTGTTAACATGGGTGTGGTGTAGTCAGGGGGCTACCCCAAAATGTGAGCAAACATTATGCTTTCAGCAAAAACCCAGTGTGTGAATGAGTTTACACTAGGCTCAGCTTTGCAGGCTCTCACAACTAAGACTGTTTCAAGGCTCTTTTGCACCACAGAGATGCTGTTAGCTGGCCAGTTTTGGTCCCTGCTTTTGGCAAAATCTTCCCGTGGGTATACATAACTGAACACTGAGGAGTTAGCATATACCATTTAATTTAATTTATTTAATTATGGTTTGCTTTCCTTGTGAAATAGCTCACTGTTAGGTTGACAGAATGTAAACCTTACTCCTTTAGTGAGTAAGTGCGTATGTCACATCAAGTGTGTACATCCAGGTTTGAATGTCTAATTTCTGTTGTGAGCAATCACCCTCCTTACTCTCCAGCCCGTTGTGTCTCCAGTGTGTTTCTAACAGCAGCATTCTAAAATGCAAAGTTAATTATGTCCTTTCGCCACCTTACAGGTTCAGTGGTTCCCCACAGATTTTAGGATGAGGTCAAACCTCAGCACAGAGGTATCACCTGTAAGATGGAAGTTGGTAGAGCATTTCTGTGGCTTCTCCCAGGTTCTCACCATGCAGATTCCTGGCAGTTGTCCAAAGGGATGACGTTCTCTGCCTTCTCTGCTATGTCACCACCCCCGTGCTGGCAAAGCCACGTCCGCCCCTTCTGTGTCCTTTCCCTGTGCAGAGGTGTGGGTCGCAGCTGTGGTGTGCCAGTGGTAGGGTGTGGGGCCCAGCGACTACACGGAAGGGACCTCCCCACTCGTGTCCTGCTGACCTCCCCTGGCCAGCGAGAGGCCCGCAGACCTTGGCTTTTACATCAGAGCATTTCTCTTTGCATATTCACTTCTTGTATTAAAAAGGGATTGCAAGCCCTTTTCAGAATGCTTAAAAATACATAGAAACCTCATGGGGTTTCTCTGGGACTCAATTTTCTTGTCTGTAAAATCTAAAATTTAGTGAATCTCTTACTTTAGAATTCTGAGAGAAAGAAAAAGCATAGTTATTTGTTTGGTAGTCAGTCAGATTCCTGGTAAATAGGAGTTTTTTTATTTTTGATGTATAGAATTGAGATGTTCTGAGAACTGTGCTTCAGTTTGCTAAGTAACTAAGCGAAGTGACATAAGTACAAGCATCTTACTTTTACCTCACGGTATAGAACCTACATAAACCCAGAAGCACATTCTGATTCCATGAATCAGGACACAACAGCTCTAATCTCTGACGGGTTTCATCTACTGGTTCCGTCTCCAGGTTAGCAAATACCCTAGATAACACTGAACTAGTATGAAAAGACCTGACTTGATATTAGGTGAACATTTAGTTTTAAATCAGTTGGATAGCCGTTAAATGTTTCAGGCGTACATAATTCAACCGAAGTTTAGAATATTTCGTATTTTATAAACATAGTATCAGCAAGAAGCCACGAGTATTGAAATATTGTCAAACTCAAAATACTCATTCCTTGCCACTATAAATGCAACTGAGGCAAATCAGGAAAGCTAATAATAAGGAAATATGCCCGGGAAATGCATCAGCGATCGATGTGTTGCTTTGTGCCCCTGCGGCTCCGCACACTGCTGTTTCTTCAGCCTGAAATGGTTTCCCCACGTTTCCTGTCCTGGGAAACTCGTCTCCTTCACTGACAGGGCGATCAGGGGCCGCCTGCTGGCCTAGGGCCTGAGCTGAGGTGTTACTCCTTTGACTTTCATGTATGTCTAGATGTGTATGTTGTTTCATTCATTGCAACATATAATAATAATAATTGTTTATTATTATTTTACATGTCTGCCTCACTTTGTAGACGATGAACTCCTGGAAGGTAGGGTTCTTTTATTTTTTTGAAAATTCACTGTTGTCTCCTTCATGCCAAACAGAATGGATATGTAACGAATGTTGGTTGTGTTAAACTGAACTAAAAATCTTTTAGACTCTTTGTAAACAGCCGTGACACACAGCTGCAGCCCTGTGGGCTGAGACAGTGAAGCCAGCCCTTGATCTTCTGTCTGGGGTCCTGGGACCTCTGCAGGGAGAGAGGGAGATTGCTCTGCCTTGTCACTCTCTTCCAGGCAGGCCTGTCCTACAGGACAGAGGTGCCAGATGTCGGGTGGGTGTGGGGGTGCTGCTGCGGCCCTGTCACTCTGGTGTCATTGGCCAAAATTGTCTTCCCGGTGCCATTTTCTAGAACACTCACAAACTTGTTCACGAAGCCTGGCACCCTGCCTCTGCTCAGATGATCACGTTGTTGTCTTTGAAACCTAAGACAGCTTTTCATTGAGCACTTTGGGGGGAAAAAACTTCACAGGCTGTTTATTCCCTAATCAGGCCTGTCTTTAACAGACAGCTTTGCATGAATTAAGGGTTTCTAAATTATTTGTTATTTATGCCCTGCCGCTTTCCAGAGAGCCCAGTTATTTTATAGGATTAATGTGAGTGGAAGCTTTAGCAGAGTGAAGAACTGCTGCATGCTTACATTGGATGAATTCTGTTTTGTGAATTTCTGCCATAATATCCAGCAAGAAAGACCAGAAATGATGTCTGGCCTTTGGGACCCTGGGGCTTTGTCAGATGGTGTTAACTGGGGAGGTGGGTGCTACCCTCCCACCCTACCACCTGTGTTTTGAATATTTCCCATTGCAGCTACACCGTGTCCTCCTGCTGTTTAACCTTTCCTAAATCAGGGCAGACCGCTCTTCAGCCGAGTAACAGCAGACGATGTCTGTAATTCAGTGACCAGGGTGTTCCAGTGCGGTGGCTCGTGAAATATTCTCAGCCTGTCCCGTCTGTACTGACTGTACACCTCTGCTTTGATGTTGCAAAACTGTGAGAGAATTGGGTGCAGGGGACAGTGGCCCTTTTCACTTTATTTCTCCACCATTGATTATTCCCTGCTGCTCATCCAGCACATGTTGCTAAGTGTCACAGGCACATTCTTCCAAGGGAATTGTGAGGTGTTAACACGCTGTTCTAAATGTAAAATTATCTATGGCACAATATTATATCCACTCTCAATAAAAGTTTTTTTCCCAAATTTTATGATATGGAGGAAAAAAAGTATTATCCTCTCAAAAATTCCTTGGACCAGGATTAATTCCTGCTTCCTTAAGCTGCATCATTTTTAACCATTTATCAATCCCTTAATTATTGAGAACTAATACATGCGAGATACTCGGGTAGATTTCCTTGTCCTGTCTTTCTCCCACGATACCAGTGGAACAGAAGGAGGGACTGGAATTCCTCACTGACCTTGACAGCCCGATGAGGTCAGGAGCTGACTTGCTTCCTGTCCCTGAAGAGCCGGAACACAAAGGGTCTCAGAGCGTCACTGAGTCGCCGGGGCATTCACACGGCACCGAGGGCCTTGGGGCCGGCCCTGCTGTTCTCCAGGCAGGGTTGGGACTGCCTGAAGTTCAAATGAGCTCCTGTTCTCTTCCATGGTTTCAAGATTTGGGATGTTCAACGAAATTTTTTTTACCACTTTCATATACATAAATTGCTAGCACAGCCCAAATTAAACATTAATAACATTTTCTTTTCTTTATTTGGGCACTGGGGATGTCCCCTGAATGGATTGAGAGGAGTGTGTATTACAAAGAGCCCACACTGAAGAGCCCCATGCGGGGCTGGTACATGGTGCCTGGACCCCCGTGGGCAGGAGGGTCACAGCGGCTGTGGTGGGTGCACCTTGCTGACAAAAATGGCCGAAGGCAGATCTGTTTTCTTGAGGAAGATAAAATGTTAAATTACTGTATCTGCTTACCCCTGTCAGCTTGTGCAGTTTTCCCCCACAGACTCAGCTGACCAGACGTGCTCCCCCAGAGAGGCCCCCTCCCACTGCGTTGCCATGCAGCAGGGTATTCACGGGAGCTACCCTCCCGGCCTCCCGGTAAAAACTGGATGGCCTGAGACCGAGCGCTCCGTCCCGGGACTCCTCCCTACTTGCCAGGGCCCCGTTGTTCAAGTAGCAGGAAGAACATGCCCTGAAGAGCAGAAAATAGCTGGCTTTTCCTCTCTTCTGGGCCTCCTGGCTTGTCTTAGTATTGTTTTCTCTTTAATGTCATCCTAAGAACAACTTAAAATTTTAATCATCAGCATGAATTTTACCATCCATCTTCATACAACGAAGCCCCAGTTTTAAATGAAACTGAGAATGCATTTGACTCGTGTGCAGATTCTGAAGTGTTCCACTTGTGTTTCGTCCCTCACGGACATGTGCAGTTTATCTTGAACACTGCACGAAGCCCACCTGGCCACTCCTCTTCCTGCCATGACTTGCTATGTCCACACGAGATCCCTGTGTCCCCAGTCCTAGTTCACTCCCTGGTCTTAATAGGTCAGTGACACCGACTGACTTGGTTATTACTTGCTTATAGTCCATGAAAAATTGATCCAGAGAAGCTGAACTTGAACTTCTTGAAAAAGCTAACCCTTCTCAGGGGTAAATGGACACAGCAGAGCGGAATGCAAGGGGAGTGGTCAGGGGACACCGTTCCTAAGGCAGTGTGCACACACATGACGCAGACTCAGCAAGCCGAGCTGTCTGTGGCAGCTGGCATTGGCGTGCCATCTCAGTGACAGCACAGGGCATCTGATGCCAGTGCTCAGGCCAGCAGCCTGTGAGTGCCACCTGGGACACAGCCCTGATTGTTTAGTTTCCACCATACATATGGAATATGGTTCAGGAGGGCTTTTGTGGGTAGACAGGTCTTCATGTAAGTGGTCTACAAGGTGTTTGCAAGGTCAGTAGGGCAGCCGAGACCTTAGGTAGGCAGTGATTGTCTACTGCCTGGGGAGAAACATTAAGATCTCCAAACACCATGTTTTGTTTGCTCTTTAGTTATGGCATCATGGCATTAAACCATGTGTATCATGCATGTAGCAAAATGGTATTAGTCCATTTGGCTGCTGCAGCAGAGTGCACACATGGGGGCCTATAAACTAGGGCCTTATAAAACCCACATGGAGGCGCATAAACCACAGCCCTCACTTCTCCTGGTTCTGATGCTGGGAGCACAGGACCAAGGCCACTGCCTGGTTCACAGACGGCATCTCCTTGCCATGTCCTCTTTGGAGGAGGGGGGCCCTGGGGTCTCCTTTAACAGGGCCCTGATCTCACCTCGGGGCCCCACCCTCAAGACCTCATCACCTCCCTAGGCCCCCTCCATCACCTTGGGGATTAGGCTTCAACATGAATTTTGGGAGGGCACAAAACATTCAGTGTAGAGCAACTAGGAAGTAGTCGGCCACAATGGTAATCGATATTCCGAGACATAAAAACAGCACCGAGGCAGCAGAATCTCGGAGTGTGGTTCAGTGAGTGCCGTAACGAAAGAGCAGACCAGACGTGGTAATTGAGTGCTCCCGTATGATAGCTTTAAGCAAAGCAAATTTATCAGTAGACACAGAAAATAAGAAGACAAAATACAGTGGATTTGAATGAACATGTTTACCAGGTAGCTATAATACATGATTGTAGAAAACGAGCTATTTCAGTGTAAACCATGTGTATCATGCATGTGGGAAACTAATCCAGACGCTGGAGGGCCTGTCCTGCTCCTGTGTGAACCAGAGGCAGGTGTGTCCCCAACAATGGAACATGATTGGAAAGCCATGTATCTGCTGCTTTTGAGCGTGAGTGAGAACTAGTAATAAATTTGTATCATTTTAGTTAGCAGAATAATTTTAAGATTTATTTCTGACCAGCCTAATAGCTTCTGGCTTGGTACTTTTGAGTGAAGACTTCCCACAGGATGCAAAACTTACATCTTTGCTGTGGTTTCTTATGTGCTGTGCCCCTGGGAGCAGCACCTTCCCCCAGGATTCTGGCCCTAACCCCGAAACACTGGCCCTATCCCCCTAGGACCCTGTCCCCCACCTGCTCTCCTGAGCCAGCAGGCATTGTCCTCTCCTGCCACCTTGATGTCTAACAGCATCTTAAATCCAACTTGTTTAAAGCAAACCACAGCCAAACACCCAGACCACCCAGGGCCAGTGCACACTCAGACACACCTGCTCACAGACACACAGACACGCCCACTCACGGGCAGTAAGGAACCTCACCTTTGTGGGCCTCAGGACGAATCAGGCAACGGGCAGGGGGGAAACACTGGTGTCAGGCCTGGCTGCTCACCCACAATGTTCTGAGACCCTGTGGAGGAAGGAAGCCTGCTCTCCCCACATGTGCTCATCCCACCTGGCCGCCAGCATTAATTAGCCACCAGAGCAGAGGAGAGGAGATCAGTATAGGCTCTTTTGGCAATTAATATCCGGAGGAGACAGCTGCAAGATCATTTTGTTAACATCCAGTATCTTTTCCCCAAATGTTCAGTCAGAAATAATACCTTTTGCCCATTTAGCCAAAAGCAAACTGGGGCACTCACTCCTCAAGCAAGACCCCGGAAGGGATTGTGTTAATGAAGATCATTGGGATGGAGGTGCGATCCGGGGTTAAGGCTGACAGACAGAATCACCAGCCCAGGGAGGCCCAGGCTGGGGACACCCCAGGGTCTGGAGAAGCCTGTGGAGCTGAGGGGGGCGGGCAGACCTCATCCCCGGTTGTTTTGGGGCAGCCAGGAAGCCAGTGGGGTCGATGGTAGATACAGTTCAGCTCCACCTGCAGCAATTTCCTCCTCTCCCAACACAAATTTCAAACACCATCTGCCCCAACCTTGCTGCGCACCCACCAGGGCCCAGCCTTCCACATCGACAGGCAACAGAGTACACACTGAGGGGGGGGGGTCTTCCCTGTGTCCCTGGAGCCAGGACAGCACCCAGCACCCTGGAGGGGCTCCCCACATGCATCTGTTGTGCAGCCATTTGGTC